TTGTGAATGCGGAATGCACGTAATAATTCGTGCCAAAAGAAACAACTTTTCCTTTTGGCAAAATCACGTCTGAATATTACTTTTTTATTGAGAACACAACTTCCCATACAGCACAGAACATTGCAGCAATATTGCGACAATGCATACAGCACAGAATATTCCAATATTGCAATGTTATTGCAACATTGCTGTATGGATTTAAGCTAATGAATAAGCGCTTTAGATTACGCATGAATCAGGGGCGGCGCACGCACATCTTACGCAGCGTTTGAGCATATGCGCTATTTTATTATTTTGCTAATGGTTTTATCAGAATTATGCATGATAATTAAATTTTTATTATATACCTATTAAATAGCTATTTTCTCTCAAGACAATTTACTTAATGAAAGAACATTTTCCATTTGATATCACCGAAGCAATGACTAAAAGTAAAATAAGTAGATAAATAAGTAGATAACATGTGAATAATTTTGATCTAAAATATTGTTTCAATATTCTCAGAATTTTCTTAATCCTAAAAAAGATCAATATTAAAACATACATGTTTGAAATGCAGACTCTCTATATGTATATATATAATCGCTCTGCGGATAAGATTCTCTTGTATACATTGAATCATTTCTGGCGTGATAACTGCTATTGCACAATAAAACTGTTCTTCTAAATCTAATATGTATGGATCAAAATTATTCTAACCTACTTATTTTACTTTTAGTTATTGCTTCGGTAATATCAAATGGAAAATGTTCCTTCATTGAATAAATTATTTCGAAAATAGCGATATTTAGTTATCATGCATAGTTCTTGTAAAACCTTTAGCAAAATAATAAAATAGCACACATGCTCAAACGTTGCGCAAGCCATGCGCGCGCCATCCTTGATTCATGCGTAATATAAAGCGCTTACTCGTCAACTTAAAGTTGCTCTCATTAAAATTATAATATTCAGACGCAATTTTGCTAAAAGAAAAAATTGTTTTTTTGACACAAATTCTGGTCTTTTGACAAAAAAATTGTTTTTTTGTATCCGCAAATTCTGGTTCACCCTATATTAGTAAATTGTATATAAATTGTATATAATAAAATTTACTTATATAAATTTACTATAATTTATTTAAATATGTGTATATATATATAATATTTATATAACTAAATTTTATGATAATCAATTTACTGATCTGCATTAGTAATGTGATTTTTTTCTTAATTAAAATATATATATATATATATATATATATATATATACAGGGTGTCTCATTTTAATTTCCCCAGGTAAATATTTCGGAAAATAATAAAAAATCGAAAAAATATTTCAGACAAAAGTTGTATGGTTTCTAGGCGGACATAAGATTGGTTTGACCTTGAAGAGTCATTTGAAGGTCACGTGAAGGTCACTTCAATTTTTTTAAACGGAACACCCTATATATTTTTGCGCATTCTTGTAGCTCATCTCGAGAGCTTTCCAAAACACTATAATTAAGTTAGTTTTCATTAAGGACTTTCCAAGTTATGAGGCTTGAAATCATTTCTTAATTTTACATAAACCGTAAAATATCTTATAAAATATTCATGTAATTTGCAATTAACAATTACATATTTTTTCTTTGAAACAACTCTGTGTTTTCTTCACACCAATTGATTCCTCTTATTATTTTGTACATAAAAGTATTAAAATAATCGAAAAATGAATATTTTACGGTTTATGTAAAATTAAGAAATAATTTCAAGCCTCATAACTTGGAAAATACTTAATGAAAACTAACTTAATTATAGTGTTTTGGAAAGCTCTCGAGATGAGCTACAAGAACGTGCAAAAATATATAGGGTGTTCCATTTAAAAAAAATTGAAGTGACCTTCAAATGACTCTTCAAAGTCAAACCAATGGCATCATCTTATGTCCCTCTAGAAACCATACAACTTTTGTCTGAAACATTTTTTCGATTTTTCATTATTTTCCGAAATATTTGCCTGGGAAAATTAAAATGAAACACCCTATATATACAGGGTGTTCTAAAAAGTATGTTAAAAATTTAAGAAGATATTCCTCACACTTGAAGGATGAAAAAATGTTATATGGATATAGATTCGGAAATGTTTATTTCAGGAGTTATGTTGAAAACACTGTTAGCTGTATTACTTACACAAGGAAAAATTTAGGATTAATTATTGTAGACGACAATTGTTTAATTAGACTTATTTATATTTGATTTTAATATGACTTTGAGTATGTTACAATAAATGTTAAAAATGTTCACCTTTTTCATGAATACAAGCAGTGACACATCGATTCACGGACACGTTCAAAAATACCTGGCATACAGCGGATTGTCTCGCAACCTGCAGTAATACGGTCACGAAGATCTTGAATATCACGCACTGGTGTAGCATGTATGTACGATTGTCTTTAAATGTCCCTACAAATAAAAGTCGGATTGAGATTCGGGGAACGTGGGGGCTACAAAGTAGGTTCATCTCTTCCTATCCACCGATCACCGTAAATTTGATTCAGCAAATCACGACTAAAACGGGCTGAAATGAGGAGGAGCTCCATCATGCATAAAGTACATGTTTTGTCTAATTATCAATTCATTTTCAATATTTATTGTAACATACTCAAGGTCACATGAAAACCAAATGTAAATAAGCTTAATTAAACGATTGTCATCTACAATAATTAATCTACTCTAAATTTTTCCTTGTGTAAGTAATACAGCTAACAGTATTTTCAACATAACTCCTGAAATAAGCATTTCCGCACCTATATCCATATAATATTTTTTCATTTTTCAGGTGTGAGAAATATCTCCTTAAATTTTTGTCATACCTTTTAGAACACCCTGTATATATATATATATATATATATATATATATATAAATAATATATACACACACACATATACACATATGTGTGTGTGTGTATATGTGTGTAATCGGTTTTTAATCAGGAATAACGCTATTTGCTTAGTGGGAACTTTTTAAGATACACCTTGTATATATGTGTGTATATATATATATAACATATAACATATACAGGGTGTCCCATTTTAAAAAACGCACCTCGATAATTCTTCAACGAAGCATTTTCAGCAAAAATGTTTCAGACAAAAGTTGTATGGTTTCAAGGGGGATAAGATGATGTCATTAACTTGACCTTGAATAGTTACTTGAAGGTTATGTGAAGTTCACCTTCAATTTTTTAAATAGAACCGCCTACTTTGTATTGCATATTCTTGCAGCTCATCTCAAGAGCTTTCCAAAACACTATAATGAAGTATTTTTTATTAAGTATTTTTCGAGTTATAAGGCTTGAAATAATTTCTTAATTTTACATAAACCATAAAATATTTTGTAAAATATTCATTATGGACATAATTTATATTTACATATTATTCCTTTGAATAAAATTATTGTAAGAAAACTGGGTGTGCAAATACTTATTTGATCCACTGCATGTTATCAAGATCATCATTCTGAGTAATTTTGTGAAGATTTTAATCGGCGGTTATTGTTTATTCAAAAGATATAAACAAAAGAAATTTCATAAGTTCATTAATATATTTATCGAATAAAAGTCAATTGTTAGATAATTTCACATAGATTTGTAACTTTTGATGCAAAGTGAAGTGTATCCCGCATCACAAATACGAGTTGGGTTAGGTTATATCTTCTGAAAGTGGAGCCCCCCGCAGGGAAGCGGAACATACTCTATTTACGCATGTACTTTCTTATAATATATACTGAAGCAAAATTTACTCTTAATGGAGGTTAAAATTAAGTGAACTTTGCTTCATCTTGAAGAGTACATGCATGGACAGTGTGTTCCGCCTCCCTTTCAGGAGATACAACATAACCCAACCCGTGTTTGTAATGCGGGATACACTTCACTTTACATAGAAAGTTACAAATGTAACATTTTTCGCGCACAAATAGTTTAATAACTCATATTTTGTTGTTAAAGCGAGAAACTCGTATTACTTCATGTTAACTACCCAGTAAATACCAAGTAACAGTTATATAACTGTTAGTTGTAATTTCCCACTCAACAATATAACATTTACATAACAGATATGTTATATAACTGTTAGTTGTAATTTCCCACTCAACAATATAACATTTACATAACAGATATGTTATATAACTGTTATATTGTTGAGTGGGAAATTACAATTAACAGTTATATAAATGTTATTTGGTGTTTGCTGGGTATACAATAATCTGTTTCTAATTCACCTTTTCTAAAATATTTTCAGAAGTCATAAGAGATATCAAAAACATAGAAGCCTATCATTGTTCCACTCTCTGATTTCAATATAAGAAACTATGTTCAATATACTAACTATTTCAATATAAAAAAAATGTAATTGTTAATTGCAAATTACATTTTTTTCGAAACAATTATGTGTTTTCTTTACATCAATTGATTCCTCTCATTATTTTGTACATAAAAGTATGAAGGTAAGATGATCGCAAAATGAATATTTTACAAGATATTTTACGACGGTTTATGTAAAATTAAGAAATGATTTCAAGCCTCATAATTCGGAAAGTACTTAACGAAAACTAATTTAATTATAGCATTTTGGAAAGCTCTCGAGATGAGCTACAAGAATATGTAACAGCATATTAGGGTGTCCCATTTAAAAAGTTGGAAGTGACTTTCACGTGACTTTCAGGTGACTCTTCAAGGTCAAACTAATGGCATCATCTTATGTCCCCCTCGAAACCATACAACTTTTGTCTGAAACATTTTTGTCTGCCGCGTTCAGTTTTTGAGATATTCCGCTGATACGGGTAGTCTGCGACACTCTGTATATAAAGATTCTCTGAATCAGAATAATAAAATTTTTTACCAAAAAATTTTAAGGCACTATAAGTATGAATTGATAATATAGTTTTATAATTCGAGTTATGACATATATTCGGCCATAGTGTTTATGTTTTAAAGACAAAGGGTCAAACAAACAAAAGCAAATAATATTATCTTTCATCATTTTCAGACGTTCCAGGACACGGAAGCAGAAAAGGCAATAATGAGTTCAATCGTATACTGCATACATCACAAGGATGGCTGTAAATGGTCAGATGAATTAAGAAAACTGAAAGTAAGATTATTTAGAACAGAGTTAGAAGAGATGAGTATCGATAAATAGACAAATTCAAATCTTGCTTTTATCAGGCACACTTGAACACATGTAAACATGATGCGGTTCCATGTGGCAATAAATGTGGAGCGATGATTCCTCGTGTACTTATGGAAGACCATTTGAAATATACTTGCGCTCAGCGTAGGGCTCGTTGCGACTTTTGTGCCAAAGAGTTTACTGGACATACTTTAGAGGTATAATAATCTATTACTAATTCAATTTTTTAGTAGTTACATTTCTATGAGAAAATTAATAAAAAATTAATAAAAAATTTAATTTTATTAAGCTCCTAATCATTAAAAATATTTGGCAATTAACTTTATCAAGCAATATAAATTTCTATTAGTCTTTTTTAATTATCTTCTTCATGTGAAATATGAATATTCCATTTAGCAGTTTCTTAAAAACTGCTATTCTTACTTTAAAAAATCATTAGTTTCTATAAAATCAATTATTTACAGAAACACACTGGAACATGTGGATATGAGCCTCTGTATTGCGAAAACAAATGCGGAATGAAGGTACAAAGGCGACATTTCGGACAGCATAAGTTAGGAGAATGTGCCAAAAGATTAGTTGCCTGCCGTTACTGTAATAAAGAATTCGTTTTCGATACACTTGGTGCTCATCACACGAAATGCGGTCGATTTCCTGTTGCATGCCCTCATCGTTGCGAAACTGCGGTGCTTCCTCGAGAGGATCTCGAGATTCACTTAAAGGATCATTGCACTACGCATCTACTTTCCTGTACATTCAAGGATGCCGGTTGTCGCTTCAAGGTATTAATTATTCTTATATCCACTCTAATAAAAGATAGATAAAAATGAATTGAAACCGATTTATTTCCGCAAAATGGAATATTAAATATTTAGAATATATAAGATTTATTATAAGATTTATTTACAAAGATTTCAATTCTCTTTTATCTTTTATACATTTATATGCATCGGAATGACCAAAATTCATTGATTAATAATTCTAATTACACACACACACACATACGAGTATTCTAGAGTATTCTATACTAGCGCTTGTAAGGAGGCAGAGGAAGTTAAACTGAATAGCAGAGTCCTCTACTATTTTGCAATTTTCGCAATAATTAATTAGATATTATTTTTAAAGAAATCGGCCAATCTGAGTAGAAGCGCGCGGCGAATCGGGGGACGGGGCGCTTATCAAACATAAGGCCCTTGCACGTACAAAAATTTTCAAATTTCAATCGAATATTCTCCCTGCAATAAAAAAATAATCAACTATGATTTGTTAGTTTTCTTACGGTTACGACTAAAATTTTTGTACATGTAAAAGTCTTTACGCTGAAACGTCGCGCATTGCCATCATATTGAAGAGCACTCCACTCACCGCTTCGCCGCACCTAGTTTACAGTGGGATGACTCTCATCGTTGTGCGCTTGTACTCGCACGCATTGACCGATCTTTTCAAATTAAATTTAATATCTAATTAATTATGATGAAGATCGTAAAATGAAGATTTTCTCATTCAGTTTAATCCGCTCTATCTCCTCATGCGCACTTGTATATAGTGCTCTAGGATACTATATATATATATATATATATATCCGGGTGTTTCAGACCACCCGTACACCCCATTTTAAAGCAAAGGAAGTGGTTATTTTGAAAAATGTTTCAGACAAAAGTTGTTGAAGATAAAGTAATGCATTACATGGGTAAATTTGATTGACCTTGGGTGGCGTCGTGAAGGTCATGTCAAGGTCGACTTGAATTTTTTAAATGGGAACCCCTATTTTTCATTGCATATTCTTGTAGCTTATCTCGAGAGCTTTCCAAAACACTATAATTAAGTACCTTTTTATTAAGTACTTTTTGAGTTATAAGGCTTGAAATAATTTCTTAATTTTATATAAACCATAAAATATCTAGTAAACCATTCATTTTTCGATTATCTTACCTTCATACTTTTATGTACAAAATAATGAGAGGAATCAATTGGTGTAAAGAAAACACATAGTTGTTTCTAAGAAAAAATATGGAATTGTTAATTGCAAATTACATATTTTTTCTTAGAAACAACTATGTGTTTTCTTTACACCAATTGATTCCTCTCATTATTTTGTACATAAAAGTATGAAGGTAAGATAATCGAAAAATGAATGGTTTACTAGATATTTTATGGTTTATGTAAAATTAAGAAATTATTTCAAGCCTTATAACTCAAAAAGTACTTAATAAAAAGGTACTTAATTATAGTGTTTTGGAAAGCTCTCGAGATAAGCTACAAGAATATGCAATGAAAAATAGGGGTTCCCATTTAAAAAATTCAAGTCGACCTTGACATGACCTTCACGACGCCACCCAAGGTCAATCAAATTTACCCATGTAATGCATTACTTTATCTTCAACAACTTTTGTCTGAAACATTTTTCAAAATAACCACTTCCTTTGCTTTAAAATGGGGTGTACGGGTGGTCTGAAACACCCGGATATATATATATATATATATATATATATATATATATATATATATACACAGGGTGTCCCATTTTAATCGATGACCCCGAATAATTTTTTTAATTTTGATTGTAGGAAAAAATGTTTCAGACAAAAGTTGTATAGCTTGAAGGGGGACATAAGATGGTATCATTCGTTTTATCTTGAAAAGTTGTTTGAAAATCACATAAAGGTCACCTTCAATTTTTTTAATAGAACCCCCTATTTTTTATTACTTATTCTTGTAGCTTATCTCGAGAGCTTTCAAAACACTATAATAAAATATTTCTTCATTGAGTACTTTTTGAGTTATGAGGCTTAAAATCATTTCTTAATTTTACATAAACCATAAAATATCTAGTAAAATATTCATTTTTTGATTATCCTACCTTAATATTTTTATGTACAAAATAATGAGAGGAATCAATTGCTGTAAAGAAAACACATAATTATTTCGAAGAAAAAATATGTAATTTACAATTAACAATTCCATATTTTTTCTTAAAAACAACTGTGTTTTTCCTTTACACCAATTGATTCCTGTCATTATTTTGTACATTAAAGTATTAAAGTAGGATAATCGAAAAATAAATATTTTATTAGATATTTTACGGTTTATGTAAAATTAAGATATTATTTCAAGCCTCATAACTCGCAAAGTATTTAATAAAAACTAACTTAATTATAGTGTTTTGAAAAGCTCTTGAGATGAACTAAAAAAATATACAAAAGCATACAGGGTGTCCCATTTAAAAAGTTGGATGTGACCTTCACGTGACCTTCAGGTGACTCTTCAATGTCAAACTAAAGACACCATTTTATGTCTCCCTTCAAGCCATACAACTTTTGTCTGAAACATTTTTTCCTACAATCAAAATTAAAAAAGTTATTCGGGGTCATCGATTAAAATGGGACATCCTGTATATATATATATACAGGGTCTACCAAAAGTGTGGAAACCCCTAAATATCTCGGAAAATATACGTTTTACAGAAAAGTGTTTCCAACAAAAGTTGTAGGGTTTAAGAAGATCTATATACTGATTCTATCAGTTTGACCTTGGATGGCGTCGTCAAGGTCAGGTCAAGGTCACATTGACTTTTTTAAATGACACCCCCTACATTTGATTGCATATTCTTATAGCTTAATTCAAGAGCTTTCCAAAACACTATAATAATGTTCATTTTTATTAAGTACTTTGCGAGTTATGAGGGTTGAAATAATTTCTTAATTTTACATAAACCATAAAATATCTAGTAAACCATTCATTTTTCGATTATCTTACCTTCATACTTTTATGTACAAATTAATGAGAGGAATCAATTGGTGTAAAGAAAACACATAGTTGTTTCTAAGAAAAAATATGTAATTTGCAATTAACAATTCCATATTTTTTCTTAAAAACAACTGTATGTTTTCTTTACACCAATTGATTCCTTTCATTATTTTGTACATAAAAGTATGAAGGTAAGATAATCGAAAAATGAATGGTTTACTAGATATTTTATGGTTTATGTAAAATTAAGAAATTATTTCAACCCTCATAACTCGCAAAGTACTTAATAAAAATGAACATTATTATAGTGTTTTGGAAAGCTCTTGAATTAAGCTATAAGAATATGCAATCAAATATAGGGGGTGTCATTTAAAAAAGTCAATGTGACCTTGACCTGACCTTGACGACGCCATCCAAGGTCAAACTGATAGAATCAGTATATAGATCTTCTTAAACCCTACAACTTTTGTTGGAAACACTTTTCTGTAAAACGTATATTTTCCGAGATATTTAGGGGTTTCCACACTTTTGGTAGACCCTGTATATATATATATATATATATATATATATATATATATATACATATATATATATATATATATATATTCAACAAAATTATTGCATAGGCAATTTCATGTCAAATTTTCGCATAACTTTAAATAAGTCCGTCAAAAATGGTCATATTTGAAATTTTTTTTTCATTCTCCAATTTAAAGTCTCTATTTTAAGAATCATTTGTCAGATTTTGAATTTATCCTCTCCTTTTCTCGTCATTTCGTTAAAAGTAAGGACGTGTTACGTCTCTAAAATTGTATAATTTAATTTATTTCACAGGGTAGAATAAATTGTTTTCGCAAATTTTATTATGATAATCAACATAAAATATAGATTTTTATGTGTGAATTTAAAAAAATGAAGTTATACGATTTTTTTTGCGGAGTTACGACATATCAAAGTTACCTATACATTTTTGTTTACCGCCAACATTAGCATTACTCGATGCGCATTACAAGGAGGTTGCAGACGTTCATGCATATTTATGTAGGCTCTAATTGTTGCCTGAATTTCATTCCATATTTGATTCTGCAAGAGATTATCTGAAGACGAGGCGACAATACACATGAAAAAAAATTTATTCCCTGTGGAATGCATCAAATTATGCAATTTTTTGGAGACGTAACACGTCCTTACTTTTAAGGACAAGAGAGAAGGAGGATAAATTCTAACTCTGACAAATGATTTTTAAAATAGAGGATTTAAACTTGAGAATGAAAAAAAAATTTCAAATACGACCATTTCTGACGGAGTTATACTTATTTGAAGTTATGCAAAAATTTGACATGAAATTGACTATGCGATAATTTTGTTGAGGGTATATATATAGGGTGGCCCCGGACGTTCCAGCCAGACTTTGGGATCTTATAGGAAATTTAATTCTGAACAAAAAATGTCATATAAACATGAGTCGAAAAATGCTTCCTTAAGAAGTTATCGCTCTCAAATCGTGATTATTTTACACATTTTTCCAAATAGAAGATATGCGTCTTTTAACAAAAAGTATCGAAACAAAAGTTGTAGAAAATTAAATTATCTTTCAAATGAGATAAAAATGATTGTTGTACGTTCCACAGGCGCGTGTTCGGTTATTTTATAAGAGCGATGTTGTCGAAACTTCTGGAAATCTTGAGAACGCGATGTCGAGTCATGAGGAAGTGACATTTATTGTTTTGTATTAGAATTTGGCTGTCGTTCGTGTTCTTAAATTTCTGACTTTTTGCATGGTAGAAAGAATACATATGTATGTATGAAAAAATGTGTAAAATAATCACGATTTGAGAGATTTTTGAGCGATAACTTCTTAAGGAAACATTTTTCGACCTATGTTTATATGAAATTTTTTCTTCAGAATTAAATTTCCTATAAGATCCCAAAGTCTGGCCGGAATGTCTGGAGCCACACTGTATATATATATATATATATATATATATATATATATATATATATATATATATATAATTGATTAGTATAATGTATAATTATAATTTTTAATTCTCATGAAATTAATTTCATTAATTGATTAAGTTTTTATGCTTTCAGTTATAACAGAAAGAATCAAAGTGAAAAGAATTGTATATCACTGCGATTAATTCAATTAATAAATTGTTAATGAACTATTGTTGATTAAACAATAATTATCAATTATTGTTATTTTGTAATCAAAATCTAAACAAAAAATTCATATATGTTGATATTAAAAATGTTGTCTTTGGATAATTAACTTTGTTCAATTATTTATGGATCTCCTGTTTGTTCACTAAGCGAGAAAAAGTTATTCTCTTATTATCAGCATATCTTCTTTTACTCGAAACGCATTAACACATTTTTTTCTAATAGGGAAATAGATTTTCACTTGATAAACATCTAGAAGAATCCGCAAAAATGCATCTAAGCCTCATGTGTAGTCTTGTAACGAAGCAGCAACATCAAATAACTAGTCTAAAGTCAGCGATCAGCAAACTATCATTGAACTACACGGGTACACTTATATGGAAGATTACGGACTATGCTACAAAGATGTCAGAAGCGAAAGCGAAAGAAGGAATGGAGCTTGTCAGTCCACCTTTTTATACTAGTCAATATGGATATAAATTGCAAGTATGTAGGATATTATATAATCAACTCAGTAAATACTGTTATATTAATATAATTATATAAAAGCAATGAAACAGAAAATATTACAAATAATATACATAAATATTATACGGATAAGTTACTGGTTAATTGTAATTTCATATATATAATATGTAATAATATAAGTTACATCTCACCTATTATATGTCATGTTACATCTCTCTTTCGTAGTTACTCCATAGAATTGGTTCATATAGAGAATTAGTCATATACAGAATTATTAATTAAACAAAATAAAATAAATTAAATATATTTAATTTATAAAATACAAAATTTAATTTATAGAAATTTTGATTTTTTGCTTTATTAGGCATTAAATGGATTTTTTTATATTTATCTTTCTTATATTTATCAATTTCAAGTAATCTGTTTAATATTTTTAATTCTTTGTTAAAATTATAGAACTAACTGATAAATAAGAGGATAAATAGATTTCTGATCTCATGTTAGTATCTGTTTTAGTATAGACTTTATATCTATTTTATAATGAAATATTGAATATGAATTAGTTAAAGTCTAGTTTCGCTACATAACAACAAATGAAGGTATATTAACATATGAAGCAATATTATATTGCAATAATATATTTTATCATATTACTATTGTAATATTATAAAATAATATTTATAATATATCATAGTTTTATATAAGTAACTTATGCGTTATATTATTTATTACTTCCACATTATATTATAACAGACAATGTTTACTGGGAAGTATATGGAATATAAACAATCATTATATATTTGCACGACTCAAAATCTTTTAAATTTTGTGTAAGATAGAGTTTTTTTAATCTGTTTTGTGAATTTTCTTTGATTTTAATGTCTTTGTACGTTTGTGTTATTTATAATAGAAACTATATATGAACTAGGAACAGGGTGTCCCATTTTAAAAAACGCACCTCGATAATTCATCAACGAAGCATTTTCAACAAAAATATTTTAGACAAAAGTTGTATGGTTTCAAGGGGGACATAAGATGGTGTTATTAATTTGATCTTGAATAGTCACGTGAAGGTCATTTTCAATTTTTTAAATGGAACCGGCTACTTTTTATTGCATATTCTTGCAGCTTATCTCGAGAGCTTTCCAAAACACGATAATTAAGTATTTTTCATTAAATACTTTCCGAGTTATGAGACTTGAAAGTAATTTATTAATTTTACATAAATCGTAAAATTTCTTGTAAAATGTTCATTTTTCGATTATCTTACCTTAATACTTTTATGCACAAAATAATGTGAGAAATCGATTGGTGTAAAGAAAACACATAATTGTTTCAAAGAAAAAATATGTAATTGTTAATTACAAATTACACATCAAGGTGCGTTTTTTAAAATGAGACATCTTGTATGTGCTTATAAAATATATTGAGTATCAGTTTATTAAAAGAACTTTTTGATCCTGTAGGCCTCGATTTTTTTAAACGGAAATGGGACTGGAGAAGGCAGTCACATCTCGATATACATAAAAATTCTACCCGGCGAATATGACGCGCTTCTACGATGGCCGTTCTCGCATAGTGTGTCATTCACAATGTTCGATCAAACAGTTATTGCGGAGAAGGCTTGCAACATCGTGGAAAGCTTCATACCTGATCCAACATGGAAGAATTTTCAACGGCCAAGTCGTGAACCAGATTCTCTCGGTTTCGGCTTTCCAAGATTCGTGTCCCATGAAATGGTGAAGAAGCGACACTTTGTTAAAGAAGATATCATGTTTATTCGAGTTAAAGTGGATCCTAGTAAAATTGTAGCGGTTTAAAAGATGCATTAACGCGATGATTCTATTAAAACATTAGGGTAAAAACCATATTACTGACTGTGTTCATATTACTGTTGATCAAAATTTAAGTGATTTTTAAAATATAAAAATTACATATGTTATATTTTATTAAATTTCAAAATAAAATTTTGAACAAATGTATTTATTATTAAAGTAAATAATGTTTTATTATTAAAATAAATAAAAATTAAAGTCAAAATACTAAATAAAAAAAACTTAGAGTTTCAAAAGTTTTTTCCAGGTCGCATCCATTTTTATTAAAAAAGTAGGTAAAAGGTACAAAAATGATCAATTAAAGGCAACTTTATATAGTTCATATATAATATAATAAGTATTATAAGTTTCATTGAAATGTATTTTTTTGTTAATATAAGATTAAAATTAAACAGGAAAAATACTGAATAATATTGAATAATTTATTAATTTATTTAATGTAATTATTAATACCAACAATGCTTTCATTTTTTTGTTTTTAATACTGTTAGCATTACGAACATCAATTGTAAGGTGAACTAATTATATAATTAGTGAAATAATTATATTATTATTAGATTATTAGTAGAGTTTCTCTAACATAAAAAATTAAATCTTAAATTTAAATTATTTAATATAATGTGGCAAATTGACAATAATATGATCATCTGGTTGCCAAAATTACAATATGATGTAGAAATTATCAGTATTAGATGCAATTGTCTTCAACTATTATTATATTAATTAATAAATGAAAAATTAACTTTAATAGCTTTTTTCTATTTTATTTTTAAATTTTATATTACAAAAAAATATTAAAAAAATAAAACATTTATAAATATCATTGGCCGTATATATTTAATCAAATATAACTGAATATCTAATATCTTAATATAACAGTAATGTGGTCTTGTACCCTAAGTGTTTATGGTTGCGGACTTTATTGTGATATTTCCAAGTACTTCCTTGAGCAAGGCTACAGTACTTATGCTTTAAATTATGTAACAATAATTGCTTTAAATTATGTAACAATAATTGCTTTAAATTATGTAACAATAATTGCTTTAAATTATGTAACAATAATACATACTGAAATTCCGAGTAAAGACACATACGGGAATTTTGCCGTCTGTCTACGTCAAGACAATTTTATTTCGTGTTTGTTTTTAAACGTATTACTAGAAATATTACTGATAATGTGTTGCTATATAATTATAGAACCCTATAGCACACATGTCCAAAGGACGTCCTCGAGAAGTCATTGAGAGGACATCCAGAAAAAAATATCCTCCGGCTGTCTTCTGTACATCCTTCGGACATCTTTTTCACATAAATGTTGTTAAGGAATTAACTTATTGACACTGCCAAATACGATCAAAATATATTTACTTTTTCGATTTCCTAATTTCTTTTTTTTATTTAAGTTTATTATCATATAACCATTTCCCGTGGTATATAATTCCCATCCAGAAAATAATTGGTATTAGATATCTATGAATATATGAGAAACAGCTATTAGAAATACTACCCAGATAGCCAAATCTGTTACAACAGATTTTCGTCAAACACCCATTATAAATTTTAAAGGCAGAAAGACTACAGTTTGCATAGAAGAATATATATGTTCGATCATGTTGCTAGCATGTCAGCAGACATACAACAAAATCTGTTCACCTAACTGGACAATAGATTGTCAATAGAAACCGAGCAGAACTTGTTGATATAATTGACAGTACAATGATGGCAAAAACCGAGCAGGATCTGTGCGGCGCAATTTTGACAGTAAATTGGTAACAAAAACTGAGCAGGATCTGCGCAATGAAATTTGATATTAAATTGTCGACAGAAATCGGGTAGAGCCTGCTGATGTAACTGACGGCACATTGATGGCAGAAACCGAGCAGGATCTGTGCGGCGTAATTTTGACAGCAGATTGATAACAAAAACCGAGCAGGATCTGCGCAATGAAATTTGATATCAAATTGTCGGGTAGAGCCTGCTGATGTCGCGGGGCAAGGGGGACGTAGAACTGGCCAATCAACTGGCAGCATAGCAGCTGATTGACCAGTTCTACGCTCCCCTTGCCCCACAAGAGGGACCAAGGAACGAATCATTGTCGTGGAATGTAACTGACGGCACATTGATGGTAGAAACCAAGCAGGATCTGTGCGGTGGAATTTTGACAGCAGATTAATAACAAAAACCGAGGAGGATCTGCGCGCACAATCTCTGATAGCAGATTGACGGCAGAAACGGAACAGAGTTTGCATGATTCGATAGTTCTTTCACTTACCGCTATATGAGCTGTACTTTCTCGTAATCTAATTTCTGTCAGAAATATATATAAAGTCGCGAATATGAATAAGACTAAAAACATAGTAATTATAATTTTATTCAGAATATTAAACTGATTGGAATCAATATGATAAATGGAAAATTATTCATGTACTGCCTATTTGAGGCATAAAGCAAGAATTTAATTCTAAATAAATTACATCTCCAGTTTTACAAGTTACATTTACTTTTATCATTTACTTTATTATTAATTTAATTTAATTGAATTAGTCCTTCGCTATATGAGATACAACTACGATATAATATATATTACATTAATATATATTACGATATAACATATGACATATTATGTCATATTTTAGAAAAAAATTGTAATTAACTTGCCAATAATATTGTTATTTAGCACCTGTAATAATCAATTTGGTTGCATTTATATAACATTAATAAAAGTAAGCGCAAATCTTGTGCAGTTTCTGCTGTCAATTTGCCATCAGGTTGTATGCGCAGATTCTGCTCGGTTTCTGCTGACAATCTAACATCAAATTGCACGCGCAGATCCTGTTCGGTTTCTGCCGACAGTCTGTTTACAGGTTATGTTTTACAGACTCTGTCGCCACAAACAAAAACTTAATGCGGACACAGATGGCTACGGTTCTGGTGTGGGATTTTGATCGAATTTGCTGCCAATCTGCTAACATTTTGCTTACTGGGTATAGATATCCAAATATCTCTTTATCTTTTAAAATAGATAGACCATAACAAATATATATGAAATTAAATGGCTTGAACTGAACTTTATTGTGAATATAGTGATTGATTACAAAATTGATCTGTATTGAAGAACGGAGAGATATGCATATTTTTTTATAATGTAGATATTTTGATATAATAAAAATTGTAGCGCTGTTTGAAACGAATATAACGATGTATGATTTAATGTAAATATTTTATATATTATGCGAGATTTTTCGGCTTGAAATATCGCGGGCGATGACCACAATTTCATTTTCGGCCCTGCGATATAGCCAACTTCTGACTGAGTATCATGATTAAATAACAACATGACATACGTCAACCTCTACTGCACGAATCAGAAGTTGGCTATATCACAGGGCCGAAAATGAAATAGTGGACGTCGCCCACGATATTTCAAGCCGGAAAATCTCGTATAATATGTAAAATATTTACATTAAATTATGCATCGTTATATTCGTTTCAAACAGCGCTACAACTTTTATTATATCAAAACTCTACATTATTATATCTACATTATTATAAAAAAAATTATGCATATCTCTCCGTTCTTCAATACAGATAAATTTTGTAATCAATCACTATAATCACAATAAAGTTATGTTCAAGCCATTTAATTTTATATATATTTGTTATGGTTTATCTCTTTTAGTTTAAAAGATAAAAGGAGGTGGCCACGTTTAGGTGAGACACGCTGTATTATATATATATATATATATATATATATATATATATATATATATATTGCGACATTTTTAATTGATAATGAAATTTTTATTTTAAACAATTCTTCCTCGAGGTGTTAGAGAGGAGGAGAGGGAGCGAAAACGTCGTCAAAAACACAAGGCGAATAGAGAATACTTGCGCTCGAAGAAACAGGGATGGAGGGTGTTCTCGCGCGAGCTGCGGCGAAGCGGAGGCCGTCTCGAGATCTCTAAATTGGGCGCCAGATATGGTCTTTCACGTATCAGTTTGCTAAATGCCAAAATAACGCAAAAAACGCTTGCCTGATTCGCCACGGGCCGACTAGCCCGCCTAACGGTAGAGGGACAAGGTCTTTGGAAAAGTCAATTGTTCTATGCGAGGTTTTGGCAAGTTCGAAATTCGACAAACACAACGGAATTTAACAATCACGAAAGGCTAACACTTAAATAAATTACGCGGACTTAATAAAGAATAATATAACAGATTTATTAAAAAAGAAAATAATATAAAAATAAAATAAATAACAAATCAAAGAAAGAAAGAATATTCACAATAAGTTTGGAAATTTGAAATGACGAAATATATAACACATATCCAATCGATAACGGTAATAATAATAATAACTCAAATGGATCGAATTTTGCACGAAATTGATAACATACAAAAGCGCTAAGTTGTTCCCAATATTTATTTCAATTTCCCATACAACACAGAAGCTTGCATCAACATTGCTGCAATGTAATATGCTATGCAGGTAATTCAGATGCAAAGCTTATGAATTCCAATCACGAAAGGCTAACACTTAAATAAATACGGACTAAAAAAAAAATAACAGATTATTAAAAAAAAAAAAATAAAAATAAAATAAATAACAAATCAAAGAAAGAAAGAATATTCACAATAAGTTTGGAAATTTGAAATGACGAAATATATAACACATATCCAATCGATAACGGTAATAATAATAATAACTCAAATGGATCGAATTTTGCACGAAATTGATAACATACAAAAGCGCTAAGTTGTTCCCAATATTTATTTCAATTTCCCATACAACACAGAAGCTTGCATCAACATTGCTGCAATGTTACAATATTGCTCACTGCAGTGTAATGTGGCAGATATAATGCAGAGACATTATTTTGTATTATTACTTTAGCAATGTCGCAACAACATTTTAACATAGCGAAAATGTATAACATGTGTTTCTTTATTTGCCGCTACGCGGCGACACCCAATTTAACTAACTCATATTCGAATTCATCTAAGATGGATATAAAATCTACAAAGGATTAATGTAGTAATTATATTTCTTGTCTTGTGGCAGTTTAATTTTTGA